GAGAATATTCTGGTTGATCAGGAAGCAAAGAAAGCGATATTGGTGAGGTTCAATCCGAAGACGGATTTACATATGGAAGTTGTAAAATACGATCTCAGATTGAGCCGCGCCAATATCACTTTGTATAAATGGAAATCCATTTGTTTTCCTCTTTGTAACCTTATATTCTCTTTTAATTAAGAATTACTTTCTTACTTTGAGAATATGCATGATTATCATTCTTGAATTATGTTGATTGATTATTTTGTCAGTTGGTTAATTTAATGTTTACATATATATATATATATAGGTGATATGATTGAGAACTATATTTGTTTACCCTCCTCTGTCTCACAGCTGAAAGTGGTGTTGCTGATTTTCTGGTTCCAATCCCAAGCAGTTTCTAAGAGATGTCTGTGTAAGTATGAACGCATGCACGATGCATAAAATGTGATTATTATTAAATCTTTCTCCGATGGATTTTATATCTGGTCCGGATTTGAGGATGATGCAGTTGATAAAACATATAATTAATCAGACTAATACAGCTTATATTTCATAGATAATTATCTAAAACGTCTCATATTCAATAGCATTTGAATTTTCTGCAAATTAACCAATGTAGTCATCTTCATAATCCCACAACAACAAATGCATGCATGCATGACATCATCGTTACAGATATTAATATTTGATAGTATATTTTAACGTAGATAGTAGATAATGAACAGGTCTTATGCAAAATTGCTGAATTCCCTTGGCCGTAAAGAAAGATTAGATATATAGTATTGTTAACTTTTAGGATCAATTGTGCTTTAATTGGCTATTTCTACTCGATTCTACAGGATTAATAGATATGTTCTAATCAATATATACTATAAATATAGAGGACTTACTACGCTTTATAGTCTGGTTCTTGTATAGCATTTATACAAAGCTAAGAATTACAATTATTCTGAAATGCGTAGCTATCATGCATATATAGAGCAAGTTACATGGCAGTTTTTCTACTGAACAAACGTTTTGTTTCACTCTTGGAGCTGAAAGTTCCATCTTGTTTCATTGGAACTTCTTGAGATTGGAATAATAATTTATAGAAGAATTTTCTTGTTGAGTTTGAAAGAGCAGGATCAAACTATTCACGGGCCCTTTATGCAATGTACATATGTTAGCTTTACACGGACTTCATTTTGCTTCTAATACTGTTTTACTTGTAGAAAAATATTTCTAATTTTAGAAGTATGGCAAGTCTCTTCACAGTAATATTTTTGGCATATTTGTACATCATTGTGCAGCTTTTCATACAACAGGTAATATTTAACTTTTTTCCTTTGGTCTGTTATCAATACATCAAAGCATATGTCATATTAATTTATATCTCCTATTTAAATTTAATCATCGAAACTGGCCGAATTATTTAGTTATCCTATTGCTCTTTTCGTATGGGGTTATATTGGTCTTATATGTTATTTCCTTGAACTTTCATAAAGGTTACTTGTTATATATTAAAAATTTTCTAGAACTCTCTAATTAGTGGCCTTCAAGCAAGTTTTATATATATACAGCATATAGAAATTGATTACTATTTATATTAAACCATAATTTCAGCTCACTGATGTAGAACATTCTTAAATCCTAGTTTCTCTTTGAAAGTTGAAACAGAAAAGGGGAAAAAGCTATTGAATTGAATTGTTCAAATTGTAGTATTGAAATTTGTTTGTATATAGTATTATTTGCATGATTGATCTGTGAGTGATGCATGGCAACAGAGAGAGTTGCATGGGTATATGATATTAACTGATTCATAAAATTTACCCAAAAAAGAATAGCTAATTAGTGATGTACTTGAAACTTGAAATTAAGAGGAGCATCATGAGACTTCGTGTGATAATTGAGTACTGTTCAGAACCTTGAGCATGAGCAGGTTTTCAACTTACACACATTAACTAATCTAGTTCATTAATTAAGATTCACAAAGCCATGCATATATAGTATAGGAATGCTTAGATACAAAAGTGTAGCACATTTCTAACTAAAATATTTGAGCACTAGAAAAAATGTTGAACTTATTCACAAAAAATTACCAGCCCTTCAGGACACTCCAAAACGTTACAAAAAGCAATCCAAATTAAACTGAACAAAGAAATCAAAATATCGGTTCTCCTCAAAAAGACACATTCACGTATGTACATTATCATCATGAATGAAAAATATATATACAGTATATATGTATGTTTATATATATTGACTATATGAAATTGTAATTTAATTTATTGCTGCGCATGTTGTTTCATATTTGTCTTGTTTCTGTTATAACCATGAGCAACTAAGGATTAATTGAAATTATGATGTTTAATATTCCCAGAAGATAGGTGGATTGATTGTATCCCATATACAAGTTGGGTATATTGTATGTAATAATTTTGGCTTGTACAGTTGCACTCCACTTTTCTTAGGCGTATTTTGTAATAATATAGTTATACTATTTCTGCTGAACTGTGCAAGTTTTTGTTTCTGTTGGTGCAATTAACTCTCTTAATATTAATTTTCTGAAAGTAAATTTACAATAACTTCGTTTGACTGGACAATATGTCTCCTCTTTTCAATGGGAAAATTTATGTTTCAACCAAGTACTCTAATTCAGTGTACATGTCCTTTGGGCTAACTCCATACTGTTTATTGATGAATCAGATATAGTTCATATGTGTACATGTGACTTGGGTGGTTCAATCTCTCTCGGATTAAAAATTTTTGTTTTGTTTTTGCACAATCTGTATGAGCTTACTGTAAATTTAAGAGAAACTCAGAAAGAACAGAGAAATATTTGGATTTGGAGTTTTAATAACCATACTGTTACTTATTTTTTTTAAGTGAAATATGTACATGCCATAAGAATGTGATAAAATTAAAAGACACAAATGACATTTGGAAACATTAAACTTCAACCTTTATTTCATGTTAAAGATGAAGACTTTAATAACACAGATACATTTGTGTCCGTTCAAATTCAATCACACGATATTTTGTAACTCAAAACACATTGACATAGCAACAATGATATATGACAATCTTACTAGAAACTTTTCACATGTTAAATAGAGAAATTAAACTTTGGTTGGGGGGTTAAATACCAATCATTATTATGATTACGTGAGGAAAATGAAAATGAATGCATATATAATGAGATTTGATTAGAAAGATATACAAATAATATGATATGTGTGTCCTACTAAAGATTTTTTTTCTTTTTTATTCTTATTAAATACTACTTGATTTAAAGTTCAATGAGATGAATGACTACCCAACACTTTTTCTATTTAATAACTACTTGAACCAAAAACAATTAATTAATGAATAAAAACCCAAAGACACAATTAAGTGCTATAATCTCATATCTTGCATAAGAATCTTACTGCTAAGAGTGATGATCTCCAGCTAACATTCACCTAATCTTGTGCTCTTTTATTTTTATTTTTCTATCAATATTTAAGCCAAGCGCAGTCCCTTATGAGATTCCTTTACAATGCTTAATTCTTACGAAATATTACAGTTTATATTCTGTTCATATTAAGCTCCTAGTATATATTGTGGATCCCTACAGTTGCTCTTGATGAAATGATAAGTCTAATCTTTTCAACAATAGAGTTGGTGTTTTATTTAACTTATTGGTTGGCTTCAAATTAACATCTTAACAATTGCCAGTCGGCCTAATTATGTTTGTCCCTTCCCTTATGAAATTGAAATTTAACTCTTAGCTGGGGAAGACAGAGCTGAAACTGTAGTTTTGTTCACTGATGGCAAGCATATATATACATCGGGCAAATCCTACATGGATTAGAAAATTTGCAGTAACTTCTTGCAAATGGTTTTCAGAATAATTAAGTTCAAAGCTAAGTAGATGTGATTCTAATGTTAGTGTGATAGATCGATATACGGCAAATGAAAAATGCATACGTAATGCAACTTTTTTGGTATGGAATTTCAAAAATTAGCAGTTTTCTTTTTTAGAAAATGATTTGCAGAATAAGTTAAAGGTAGGTAAGATTCTGGTTTGAATGTGATCATACAAATAGAGCTTATGACAAAATGCATATGTAAATTAATACTGAGAGAAGTTTCAATGCATTCTTTTTGGAAAGATTGAAGAATAAGTTAAAGGTAGATTAGATTCTAGTTTGAACATGATACATATACAACTGCTGGCAGGCAAAATGCATATTTCATTATGCACTGCTTCAAGATAATTATAAATATGTTTTGATATTGTATCTTAGACAAAAGTTTTTGAGCTGATCTTGGAGATGACGTATTTAAATGGTAAGGTTTGACAGGTCGGTCCAGATAAACCATTTTTTGTTCTTCAAGATCAAGCTTTGATTTTTAATCTGGGTTCAGGTGGCTCAACTATGTATGCTTGTCTGCTAAGTAAAACTGTTCTTTTAGTTTATTTATTAAAAGTGTAAGTGCTTATTTTGTTAGTTACCTGGGGTGAAGATTGAGTCACCTCGAATGATAGGCGTAAAACTAACGATTTAAAGAAAGAATAATGTTACAGTTACCTAGAGTAGTGCATCGAATGACGTGACAAAATCCTGACCGTCGATTAATATTAAGTTACAATTAATCGACGGTCAAGATTTCGTCACGTTATTCGGTGCACAGATTCGGTACACTACTCCCGGTGTCTCTATTATTTTCCCTAAAGAAACAAGGTTATATTAGTGCTTGACCTGATAACAACTGTCTGAGCTGACATATTTTGCTGGAAAAAAGGGTAAGGTTTCACACTTCCAGTCTAAAGCTTAGTCTTTGGAAACATAAAGCAGTACCTTTACCAGGCAGCCCCTTATTCTGTGCATGTAATGCGAAGAAGGTGGTACAATTCATGATCGAATATGGTTTCTAATTGAAACATGCTACTAAGGGTGGTAGAATTTGTAGTGATAAGTGTAAGTGATGCATCTATTGACTTGAAAAGAAAGCAAGTACCACAACTAAATGATATAATATGAATACTGCAATTCCTACAAACTCAAAGCAACTGACATTCAGGTAGCTGCAAATAACAATCTTGGAGATTGGAGGTTTAATCTAATTACAAGATATATATCAATTACAACACAGGAAAATCGCAAGGCACAGTCCACATTGATGGTTAGCTCTCTAATGTGAGGTTTTAAAGAAAAGGAAACCGGTGAGCCTTTCCTCTTCTGTAGCCTTCTGGCTCTAGAAAAATTCAAACACCCAAAAATTATACTACAAACCTGACATACTGTCTTCACACAACCCATTAAATAAAGGTAGCATCCCAACCTTTGTTTCATTTGATTCTTGAGCGAATCAAGGAGAGGAAACGACTGCTCATCATCTACAACGCTGCTTGCCAGTATTTAATGGGGAATCTCTGATACTTTTGGATTGGGCACTAGCAATCTGCTGAGTTCCATCTGGTTTTTTCTTGCGTCTCCCTTGTTGTGATAAACGAGAGTGATAAGATAAGATAGCAAGGTCGTTAAGATCTTGCAATGGAGTGACAACCTTTACAACATCATCCATTGTAGGGCGGGATTTTGGATCCCTACTAAGGCAGTTGAAAGCTAATTGAGAAACTTTCTGCACCCCTTTAAGGGAGTAATTCAGCTCCAACCGAGGATCCACAAGTTGATAAAGCTTTCGCTTGTCAGCCAAATATGGTCGAGCCCATGCAACAAGATTTTGTTCCCCACTGGGGCGCTTCTTGTCCATTGATCTTCTGCCTGTCAAAATCTCGAGTAGCACTACACCAAAGCTATAAACATCACTCTTAGATGTCAAGTGTCCTGAAGAAAAAAAAAAAACAATTTTTCATGTTATTAGGTCTAAAAATCCCAGATTGCAGAAAACTCAAGTAAACCACATGCTTCTGAACAGACCTAAAACATCTCTTTCCAGGGATCTGAATCAATGATAAGCTATTTTCAGAACAGGGCAGTCAAAAGATTGTAAGAGTTGGATCGTGAATGCCAAATGCACTAGAGCGACTAGACCAGTTTTTACATGGACATCAATATGTCTCCCAACAGTTATCCCAACTACCGTGTCGGGTAAGATCATCTTTTCATGAGGAACAATCTGTTATATTCAATCCTGATTTTAAACATGCCCAGCACATGTAAACACTGTATGGTGGATAGAGAGGTCTGACTAATTCAACTGAAGAAATTTGCATAGTGTGTGTCAGTGTGTGGGTAGCGTGTCAGCATACCTCGTGCAAGCATGCACACACATTTAAAACTCTATTTTGTTTATTTATTCTGTCTTCTCAGTATTTTGATAGAGTAGACAATCTCAGAATGAGAATATTATTATGCGAATCCCTAAAGCCAGAAAAATATTCTTGAATAACTCTTTGAACAGCCAATAACATTTATATTCCAGGAGTGACTAAATTCCCACTTGCAAAAATGGTTTGCACACTCCAGTTTCCTTCTGTTTTGGTATATAGAGATTAAAACTTGCTCTGATGTTGACCTCAAATCCTCACAAAAGCCTCGGGTTACACCAGAGTTAAAAGGTTTCAGTTTGTTCAAAACGTATATTACAACTTTCTTACCTGTCATAACATACTCTGGAGCTGCATATCCATATGTTCCAACAACCCTGGTAGAAACATGTGTTTTGTCTCCTTGAGGACCAGCTTTTGCTAGACCAAAATCGGAAAGTTTTGCATTATATTCCTGTAAAAGTAGTTTCATGTTAAGAATTCAACTCAACTAAGGAAACAACATAATCATTTAGTAAATGCATTACTAGCATACCGAATCAAGCAAAATGTTGGAGGTCTTAAAATCTCTGTAAATTACTGGTTCTGGACCACCATGTAAAAAGGCCAATCCTTTTGCAGCACCAAGTGCAATCTTAATCCTATTAGACCAGGGAAGAGGAATAGTCCCTTCAAGAAATTTTGAAACATCAACATTATTTCCATGCCACACTTTGAAGTTGTCATTGGGAAAAAAAATAATGGAGGTGATAATAAGAAAATCGATTTACACTAAAGCAATCATGTTGCATTATCTTAATGTTCACAATACTTAAAAGTATACCCAGTAGCCAAAGCTATTGAGATATGAAAATTTTCATATCTATCTGCACAAATTCAGGAGAGAAAACTGATATGACAGTATAAGGGAACAATTATTATAAGGAAATTAAGGTTAAAATAGGTTACTCACTTCTAAAAAGATGATTTTCAAGACTACCACGTGTCATAAATTCATAAACAAGCAGCCGCTGGTCATCTTCAATGCAGTAACCAATAAGTTTAACAAGATTAGGATGGTGAAGCTGTCCAAGAAAGTCAACCTCAGCCTGCATTAAGACGGATATTTATATGTTAAACCCCAACTTTTAGCATCCAATAGACCTTCTGTTAACAGCATTAATCTACTAACCCAAAATCAGATATTCTACTAACCACCCATTCTCTATGGCCCTGAAGACCATCTGGCTTCAAGCTCTTAACAGCAACAGTTATTCCTGACCCAGGTTTTGCCGGTGCTGTTCCATTTTCTTCAATCCATCCTTTGAAGACATATCCAAACCCACCCTCCCCAAGAATGCTATCGGGTCTAAAATTTCCGGTTGCAGATTTTAGTTCCTGAAAAGTAAACTGCAACAGCTGGGATGGTGATTTGTCATCTGATGTTGGTGCATCAGGATTATCAGAGGACAGCTGAGCTTCATTTGGAGGACATAGCTCCCGGTTACTAGCATTTAGATATCGTGTCTCGGTAGCTGCATGAACACAAGACTTAGATGCTTTTTCTTTCTTTCATCACAAGCTTTGCATACATAAAGCACATATTATTTGCCAAATTTAGCTTTAATAAAGACTAAACCAAAAACAGTGATGCACAAATACCGTCAAAAGCAAGAAACTCAAATTTTGAAAACGTTGAAATTTGGAGTCAGATTATTTCCCAAAATAAAAATTGTCACTCTTTTATGAAATGAAGAACAAAATCAGTATGATTACAGAAGAAAACCCAGTAAAGATTTCAATGTCACAATCTAGAGCACAAGAGAAACCAAGAAAAATTACCTTTCACTTTGAATAAAGGCTACTGAGATTCAGTTAAAAGTACAAATTTTTCAAAGCCTTAGAAGTAAAAAGCTGGTCTTGGAGTAAGAATCAGCAAAAACCCAGTTGGGATTTCTTATCTAACTAAAAACTAAACCATAATTTCATAGCATTCATAATCCATCAGAGATCTTCTTTAACTTAACTACATAGAAAGCAAGAATACCATAAAAACAAATAATGATTTTAGTGAATCTTTAAAGCTTAAATAGAAGTGGAAGATAGAAACAAACCCGCATCATAAACAAGACTGGTGCGAGGAATAGTGTTTGGAGAGTCTTTAGAAGCAGAGGAATTGCAGGCACCTCTAACGCCACGTCTGAGAACAGCCCAGCACCCACAATTCTTCTCCATGAATGGATGTAGATGGGAGTCTTAAGTTTGATTGCATGATGAGAAAGTCATGTTTGAAGAAGAAGAGGAGGAGGAAGAAGAAGAAAGAGAAGTAAGAAAGATAGAAAAAAAAAAGGAAGGGAAATGTTAATGTAAATATTGGCGTTGTTAGTGTTGGAGATTGTAGGCATCATCATCACCATCATCGCAGTGTGTACAAAAAGAACTTTTTTTCCCACCACCTTTTTTGTGGGGGATGGGAATGGAATGCAATTCTCTCTCTCTCTCTCTCCCCCTGTCTGTTTATTTAACTTACCCTCTAGTTTACCATCAAAATACTTCCATTTTTTTTTCTATTTATTTGACCGTAATCTCATCCCTCTACGATTCTCATCTCAACTATTCTGCAAGCTCGTGTCTCTTTTGACAAAGGATGAAGAAATTTTATTATTCTATTTATTAGTGTATCGTATTACTAAATTAATTGTCTTATTATAGTTTAGTAAATTAATTAACTCAAATGCCACCAATTGATAATAATATATGAATAATATTATGTCCATAATCTCTTCTCGCAATTAGATCTCGTTTATCCATCTGTAAGTTGATCAATTACAAGCTATCACGTCAGAGTTGTGAGAAAAGTTTTATGAAGAAAGATTATAACGTAATATTTTTTATAATATATATACAAATTAAGTATACAAAATATATATATACAAAGATGTAATATAAACCTTATTTTCTTAGGATTCTGATCATGTGGAGTTGGACAGGTGATGTGAGGGTAACGAGTAACGATTGTGACACCTGCGACTGTTGCTTGTACTATATATTTTTTAGAAAATTTATATGAGATTTAATCAATTATTATTTTATATATGTATCTAAAATATTGCTTAATAGACTGTCATATGGGTTAAAATACATAGCATTACCCTATACTATAATAAAAACTAAAAGATATCTACATAATAAGGAAATCATAGGAAAATGATGTCATTACCAAAGAAAAGAAATAGTTCAAAGGAATCACTACATTTACCACAATCCATTTTCACCTAAAATAGAATAATAAAGTCATTAAGGCTGGAAAGGACTAATTGAATGTTCCTCTCTTTTCTTTTTATCATGTATATGTATATGATGATATGAATGGTACCATGGACAATTAATTAGTTTATGTTTTGTGTTTTCTATTTTGGAAAAAGGTGAACGCATGATCTATAATTAATGCAAAGAATTAAAAAAGAATATATCTTAAAAACATATATAGTTAATAAACTAACCAAAATATAGTTTGGTGATTGTTTAGGACTCTTGGATGTATTATTCAAGAGATCCTAAATTTAAATCTCCACGATTACTAATAAGGGTAATCACTATAGACTTATATGACCGTTACTTTTAAGACCTCGAAAGAATAGTTAAGGTATACATAAGTTAGTTTGGACACCCTTGAATACCAAAAAAAAAAAAACATATATAGTTAATAATTAACACTTGTATTATAAGATTTTCAAAACTCAAATGAGCTTCAATTAGGGGAAAAACAATTAATTCAAAACTCAAATGAGCTTCAATTAGGGGAAAAACAATTAATTCCAATGAATTATTAAATAAATGAAGCAATCATTTTATTTCATTGAATGAGTGGCATGACTTTCAAGCCACTGAAGAGTTCAAAAGGTTGGGAGAAGAGTAATTTAATGACCCCCACCCTCCCTGACCCTGTGACCCAAAATTGGCGGAATGAAGAAACTAACTATACCCAAGATTTTGAGAATAAAAAAAAATATTTTATTTTATTTGGACTTACTCTTGTTTCTAGAAGGCTTCCACAACATACCTTTAAATTGATACGTATGCCCACCAATAATAATTTGCAGAGAATTAAGGTCAAGCCGAATGAAATAAAGACAGTATGCTAGAATCTTATATGGTATAAAACTTTTTTATTGTTTTCAAAACTAAATCATCAAAGAAAGTTTAAAATAAATAAATATCGACTTAATTCTTGATTTAAAGGGTTTCATTCAGAATTGTGTTCATTTAATTACCTTAAACGCTTGACTTAATATTTGTATATACAAGGGAAAGAATTTCTAATTAAGGACAAAAAAAAAAAAAAAAGCATAATTAAACAAGTGTTGGGGTATATTATTGTTTGGTCAAAGGTAATGGAAAGATAGTCAAGAGCATATTTGAGTACAATCTTATCAAGCACCTCCTCTCTCTCTAGGCAATGAGAGTGAAGAAGATATATCCCTTTTACTCATTTGATATGGAGAATTAGAGATGAAGCCTCAAGCCTTATCATTTATATGAGTTTTCCCTTCAAGGGTTTCTTCTTTTAAAAAATTCATATAAAAATTATATATTTAAAAAAAAAAAAAAAGGATGGTGCTTGGTGAGAGGTCATTTCATCAACAACCATATAAACAAAATGGTATTCTTATGATGCCTTGAGTGAAGAAAAGCAATTGAGATCCTGTTCTTTTTTCTTTTATTTTTAAAATTTTTGTCTATAATTTGCTTTGCAAGTTGCAACTTGACAAAGTCCTAGTTGGAAAGGAGAGATACCCATTGCCCCCACTAAGTTTTTGTGGGTCATTTGAAGTCCCCACCACACACAAGAGAGATTTTGAAACACTTAAATAATGTAAAATGTAGCCCACTCATTCTCATCATATCATCATACAAGATTTCCTATTTTGGAGGCATTACAATAACATTATTGATTTAAGAGAAAGATAAAGTTTTGTTTATTATGGGCATACTATGCTTTCAATCTCATATTTTTACTCATTTTTCCAATTTTATTTCATAATATTATTCTCTTTTTTGAAACAATCACTTATTGGTAGGTTGGGCATCGTATAGGACCCAAAACCATCTGATCTATGAATAATAACTCGGATACTTTTTTTTTTTTTTTTTTTTTTTTAATAATCCAGAAATCCTATACACTTGTTTCTCAAGCTTGGTTTCGAAACTAGAGTTCCCACCAAGTTTTGCAATGCTTGAGAAGTAAGAAACAATAACCCTACATGTGCTTATGAGGAGGCTCAAATTCCAAACCTTGTAAAAGTAAACCCCATAAGAGAAATAATATCTAGGTATAATATTTAATTTCATGTATTAATTTTTTTTTAAAAATAACTAGAAAGAAAGTATTTTGATGACAAATACAACACATTGAACCACTTGTGCAACATGGTTCCATGTTAGGAATCATCATGATGATGGGTTGCAACTATTTATTTGAAGAAATCCAATTGGTGGTTAGATAAATAGAAAAAAGAAAGATTTGGTTTGAGTGATTGATGTGAGAATGTTTCTTGACTAGTTTACACAGTGGTTTGACACCAATCACTCTGTTTAAACTCATCCACCACCACCATAGTTATTAATAAATAAAACTTGAAGCAATGCAATGGAGGAGATGAAGATTAAGAAAAAGAAAAAAGCATGGTTGTTAAACATAATGAAACCATATTTACATTGGGCATGATATGTTTATTATGTGCAAAGCACTAGATATGATGCAAATTAGACCACCTAACTATATTCAATTCTCATCTCCTCATTTTTTTTTTCTTGGGAAACAAAAAATATAAATATAAATATATTTAAAGTTAATGAAAAAAAGGTGATGTAGGCTAATATTTGTCTTTTTGACACTAGACTTTTTTGCACCTACCATTGAGTAAAAGATGTGAATAAATAACTACTTTAATGCATTTTAAATAATTAAAATTATAGGGATTAATCTATGCTTGTTTCTTAATCAATTAAATTACAGGTTTCAAAATTTTACATGACCTGTTTGGGCCTTGAATGGGCCTGGTCTTATGCGGTAATAAAATAGAAACGGACATCACATGGTTACTCCAATTAATTAATTAGTTGTGTCAGTTCAATAAAAACCTTTGCGCGACATAATCAAATCATTCATTCATCAATCAAGGGATTTCATGCTTTGAAATATCCTTCTTTCTTACTAGTTGTTTGGACAGATTATCAAAATTAATAATTGATAAACTAGAGTTGTAGCTAAAAAAGTTTTTTAGATCGGGTTAGATTCATTTTTTTTCTACCAAAAATTATTAAAATATTAAAAAGATTTGGGAACCTCAATGTTATAAGAGAATTATTAACAAAAATAAGTATGTTGACTCAAAGAGCAAGAGTCATCATGCTCTTATTTTCATAATAATAAACAATTACATTCCTAAGTATTGCTACTAATAGCTATTACTTAAGTGCGGACATCAATGACAAAGAATTTCCCAATGCACTCAAAGAAGTATTAAAGAAGGAAAAAGACTAAACTTGGATAAAAATTATTGGAGAATTTCGGAAAGCTTAGTCTAGGTATATTTTATTGTAACCAATTTTAATTGTAAAAGCATAAGTTTTTGTTAGAAAAGTCATTTATTTGTGAAAGCTCTAAAAAACTTGGGCCTATTTGTTTCACTCTTTTTGAGTAATTTTTCTATATATATATATGTGTGTGTGTGTGTGTGTGTGTGTGTTTATTTAGTTCTTGAGTCATTTCATTCAGAAAATTAATCCAACTCGAATAGGATTTTATGTCTAGAGTTTGAAAAGTGGGTAAGACTTGTTTTCTATTATCCTACTCTATTTAACTCAAAACATTTTTTCAACTCTATTCAACCAAAAACAATTACCTTTCACTGTAAAAGTTTATAAATTAATAAAAACATTCTCACCCACCTAAGCCACTGCTAGCCGCTAGCAACCACCGTCGGTCGTCGGTGCCGGAACGATGCACGACCAGCCAGATCTAGCCGATCATGCGTCGATCTAGCCGTTGACGACGACCATATTTTGGCTATCGTTGATGACCAGATTCTGGCCTTAGATCTGACCGTTTCTGGCCAAATCCAAGGTGGATCTGGCCGAAAAATGCTAGATCGATGCACGATCGGCCAGATCCAGCTGGTCACGCGTCATTCAGTGACTATCGACTATCATCCAGTAGTGTTGGTCGACTGTCGTCCAACAGTATTGGCCGACTGCCGGCCGTGGGTGGGTGGGTGGGGATGTTTTTATTAATTTATAAACTTTTATTGCGAAGGGTGTTTAGCTAAATTAACAAATCAGAAAATGTTTTCAAAAAATGTATCAAACAACTATTCTATATTCTTATCCAACTTTGATACAATTTTCAGATATTATACCAAACACATTCTTAGAATCCTATCAATCATATTTGATTTAATCCTATCATATCCTATTCAGGTAATTTTTCAGAATAACATTTTTCAAATAACCTACCAAACAGGCCCCTTGTTTTTGAGTTTTTTGGATTTGAACCAAAATGTTGCTTTTCAAACCCAAAGGGTTAAACTAAAATTTAGCAAACTTGCCATGATTAGGCTCTTACCACTAGACCAAAAGCTATAGTTATCAGTAAAGACACAACCTTATTTTCTTAAATCGCCAGTCCTAGGACTGTAAACGAGCCAAGCCGAGTTTTCGGCTTATCGAGCTCTGCTCCTTTGCTACAGGATCGAGCTCGAGTTTGTTGAGTTAGAAAAAATGTGCTCGAACTCGAGCTCATTCCAGACGAGTCAAGTTTGAGCGAGCTCGCGAGCTCGAGTTCAAGCAGGCTTGAGAACTCTAGTTCGAGCCAAGCTCGTTAAGGCCCGAATTGCCTGGGATTGACCTCCAACAATTTCAACCCTGCAGGCTATTTGCTCCTAAATCTGTTTAAATACACAATTTTGCATCAAAAACGGCTACTGCATCCTCAATCATATTAACCATGATAGTTTTGTATGGAAAATTAAGTTAGGTGAACTAAATTTTTCATTTTAGTTCACTTCACTTAATTAATGTTTGAGCTACAAAAACAATAACATATTAACATGTGATTGTATCAAAATACAGTCCTAATTTTAATCTAGCAGTAACTACTGAGTTTGCATCAAAATACAATCCAGGACATCAAAATAACAGTTGTCCAATAATCAAAATAGAGGTGATTGTAATATGTGCGCGGGCTATCTATGTCTTGTATCGAAACCACCATCAAAATTTGTTAGATACCCAGCCTTCACCTGCAATTATAACACACAATTAACTGATGAGCACCTGCCTAAATTGATGAACACCTACCCAGATTTCATCTAACCAATATCCACAACTCACCAACACAATTCAATTAAGAAAAATCAAGCAAATGGCCTCTATTTCCCCACACCCAAACGGCCTCTACTGCCCAATTATTTCCCCAACTATTTCCCCACGCCCAATTGGCCTCTACAGCCCAATTCTAGCCCTAACTATTTCCCCACGCCCAATTGGCCTCTATTACCCAACTCTAGCAACTTCCACAACACAAACAGGCAATATAAAACAGATTTCCACAACATAAAGAACCAGTCAAGAACCGAAAAATAACCCATAAACCATGCACTTGTGCATGCCTCCTACCACAACCAAATCATGTACTGAATCTGATTCCCAAGAACTTACCGAAGAGGAAGCTTGATCTCCAATGGTTGTTGCTCTTCCGGAAATGACAAAGAATGAGTAATTAAAGTTTAGTTAGAATAAGGATAATGTAATTATTGAATTTAATCAAAATAATATTCAATATAACCTACTTTGCACCCTTTCTTCACCTCATTCAAAGAGCGACACCAATCACATCCACAGGAGAGCATCTCTACCATGTCGGGAGCCAACGACGATTGATAAGTGTTGATAGTCTTACTCCCAAAGTTGAAAGCAAACTCATAAGCAACCATAGTGATAGGGATGGCTAATATGTCACGAGCCATGGTAGACAAAATTGGGAACTTTGTTGAATTTGCCTTCCACCACTGCAAAGCATCAAACGCCGCAGGATCCCCCGCACATTTATGGCATGCCTCTCCCAAATAATAGTCTAACTCTAATTTACTTGGCTCAACCGTCTTGATCATATCCAGAAAGTGACTAAAATCATCCCAATCCTCCAACCTAGCTGCCCTTGCACCCCCTCGGGCGATCCCTCGTCAACAACCTAAATTCCATCCCCTCCTGATGTAGAAGTGTGGGAAGCAATCAATGCTTTTCTAGCATCAACATACTCCCTATACACCTCATACAAAGCATCTCGAACAGTATCAGCATTTGCCCACACTTCCAGGTCAGGATACATCTTAGGGAACGACCACTAAATGATTGTCATCTTCAGTCTAGGGTCCAATTTAGCAGCCACAACCATTAGCAGATTACATTCCCCCCCCCCCCCCCCCCCCCCCCCCCCCCCCCCCCCCCCCCAATATTTGTCAAACTTTTCTTTCATTTTCCAAACGATGGCCCTTATAAAATCATCTTCATCTTCACTCTTACTATCCAACATCATTTTGATTAGACAAACTTGTTTTACAAACAAGTTTGATGTCGGATAATCACTCCCTGATATGAGATTGGTCACACTACTAAACACCTTCAAAATATCACAAAGTTTCTCTACTATATCCCAATCATCCTCATTGGGACAATAATGGTAACTCATATCCCTCTCTTTCAATCTAAAAGAAACACGTCTAAACTTCATTGCCGTTTCTAACATATCATATGTTGAATTCGATCGTGTTTTGCAATTAAGAATAAGCTTGCGAGACGACAATCGTAGCTGTTGAACAATCTCTACAAAAACCTTAAGTCTACTCTCTGAGGCATTGATATATAACATGTTGTCACGGATGTCATCAATAATGTGTTTAATTTGATAAAGGTCATCTTGAACAACCAAGTTCAAGATGTGTACACAGCATCTCACATGAAACAACTTGCCCCTACATATGAGTTTCCCGATAGCTTGAAAATTTTCCTTCAAGACTTTGATTGCAACATTATTGCTTGAAGCATTGTCTACTAAGATCGTGTGGACCTTAGTTTCAATTTCCCACTCCATCAAGCACTTGAAAATGACATCAGAAATGGCAACACCAGTACGGAGAGGAGGCAAATGAACGAAGTTTATGACCCGTCTATTCAACTTCCAATTATCATCAATCCAACGCCCAATCAACACCATGTATTCCATCCTCTAATTGCCTGAATTCCATAGATCTGTGGTGAGACTGATCTTTCTGACACTCTTCAGTACCATCTTCAACTTCTGCTTCTCATTTTCGTACACTTTCACATAGTCATTCTTGCAAGTGTTACGCGAAATCGGAATCCATTCAAGAATCTCATACTTCATCATATTATTCAATTTGTCTTCCTCCACAATAGTGAACAGAAGCTCATGCATCAACACCCAATGGGCAATAAGTTTCCTCATCTTAAGCATATCGAACTGACCTTGTAGAGCAGGCAGGATGATAGATATACCTTGAGTACTGAAGGGGAAAAATTAATTTGTTATTGCCTCAAGGAAGCTGATCTCTACACACACCTCTTCAAATGTCTATTAAATTGGGTAGTGCTTCTAGTGGTAGTAGTTTTTAGCTTGGTTTTACAATGGATGCACTCCGTCTTCTTTGCACCACCAAGGACAACCACCTCCCTAAATTTTGTCCACATCGTTGATGTCTTGGCTCTCTTCTTCCTATGAAGTAGATTATCATTGTCCACTATATTTTTGGGGCTATTGACACTTTGTTCTATACGGGTAGTGGTTGTGCTTCCATAAATGTTACGACGATCAACTACTCTAATTACAATTGTATCGTCGATGTCATCCAATGTTGCGGTGCTTAAGGAATTACCTTCGAAGGCCATACCTATAATGAAAAAGTAAGAATCTATCATTAACGAAACACACAAACTCCATAATCCGGCAACACAAACTATAGAATCCAGCAACACACACAAACCATACATTTTTCATAATGTGCAAACTGAAGATTCATTAACATAGTGGCCTGTCCGTATGCAAATAATGGCCTAACCCTGTGCAAAACTGTAAATAGTGGCTTGTCCGTGTGCAACACACACAAACCATACATTTTTCATCATTAGATTTTCACAAACAAGTATTCAAGCAGAGAATTGACCCTACAGACCATACATTTTTCATTATCAATTTTTCACCTTAAACCGTATGCAAATAAACCTTAACGAATTCAGACCCTACAAACCATAATCGTCGAGCATGTTAATGAACCTTAACAAATTCAGAGAATGAAATGGTGAGTTTGGATACTTACTGACTTATTCTTGTCGATTTTGTGCTTGATTTGGCAGAGAAGAATTGGTTTCGTGATTCCTCCACATCGTTAATCAATTGGCGACAACAAGAACAAAGGACAGGTGATCGTCGATGGCAAGCACAGGGATCGATTCATGATTTGGGGACTTAGGGTTTGTGAATTGTGAAATTGGGCATATGGTTAGGGCTTGGTCGATTTTGGGGGAAATTGAATTGGGGGTGTTTTGTGTTTAGATCAGGTTTTACTCTTTTGCACTTAGGGGGGCAAATGTCCTTTTTTTTTTTTTTTAAATTTACACTGCAATATAACATTTCAGTCCTACAGGTTTATAAAAACTATAAAAAATACCCTTCTTATTTAGCCACCCCAGGCTCGCGAGCCTATAGGCCAAGCCCCCCCATGATCTAACTCGACTCAAGTTACTACTCGAGTTCGACTGAGTCGACTCAACCAATGTCGAGTTGAGCCTTTAACGAGCTTCAGACGAGTCGAGTCGAGTCGAGCCAGCTCGCCAGCTGCTCGACTCGTCTGACAACCCTAGTCAGTCTTACGCCCACAGTTCGAGGTGACTCAACCTATTGATTGATAAATACTTGAAAATGCATTTATACTTAATGGTTTATTAGTTACATTTGTGGGAGATTTGGGTTAATTTGTATAAACTGACTTAATTGTTTCATAAATGTGTTTTGGGGGATTATAGGTATTTTTGTTGTGCTTTTAGGTCATAAATGCTTAAAAGTAATATTCAGATGAGAAATGATGTTAGCGGCATAATTTTTTATGATTGGAAAAAAACAGTTCCAGAATTAGACTTGAAATGAGGGAGTTATGCCATATTTAGTATGGAATGCAATCCTGAAAAATATTTGAGTTTGGAGCATGCCTCAGTATTTTGACGATAACTCAAGATGTAGACCTCAGATTTGGATGATTCTTGAATCACTAGAGAGTTGACTCAAAGGACTACAATTATTTGTTTACAACTTCATCATATTCAAAACTTTTCATGCTCAAAAGTATAAGTCTTTCGGCATTGTGGCATGGATTTATATATCACGACATTGTGCTCTCAGGTTTGAATAGGCAAATTGTTAGAATCACACTCGCCGCGACATAGTTTTTTGTGTGCTGTGGCACAATACCTCCTAGAATTCACAAAGGCATGGTATGTCATGGAATGGATTTTGTATGTCCCGGCATGGACGTAAGAATCCTAATTCCACATGGATTTTACCAAAAGCTTATCCGAGTTTTTCTATTTCAATTTATAAAGGATTACTGCAATCACACTCCTACAACTCTAGCATTATAAATATATTCCTTTAGTTATTTTTAAAGATATAGAGAGAAGAGTAGAAATGGCAATGGGTCGGGTCGGGACTGGGTACCCCTTGGCCTTGACCTAAGCTCGACCCATGACAAAGGCTCAAGCCCGTCACGAGGATGATGGGTAAAGCTCAAGCCCGGCCTGACGGGCTTTTTATAATCTTAGTCCCAACCTAAGCTCGCCCATTTTTATAATGTGAATTTTTAAATATTAATAAATTTCAATTTTTTTAATATTTTTAATTCTAGAAACAGTTTTTAAACTAATTTATTTTTGAATACTCACCAAATATTAAGAAATTTCAAATTTTTTTTTTTATATATATAGGATAATTCTGTTAATAGATATATAGTATAAGGGTAATTTAATATAAATAATAATAAAATGTCACCAGGTCGGGCTTGAAGACATACCCATGCCCGGCCCGTACCCGATGGCAAGCCTTAAAATCAGTCCCAAGCCCAAGCCCGCTAACATCGGGTAAAGCCCGACCTTTTCGAGACGGGTCAGGCTGGGCTAGATACCCAGAAATATTGAGCCCATTGCCATCTCTGGAGTATAGAGAGAAAGAAAGATTAAAAGAAGCTGGGAGAAGAATTGGAGGGGACCTTCATCAACTCCTTTGATCATCCAAGTGTTCCTAAGTTTTCTTATCTATTTTGTTATTTTGCTACTATCAATACAATGTTTGTTTTATTCTTTGCTAGGGTTATTAACGAAATTAGCTGAGCCAAGTATTTGGCTAAATGAGCTCGGCTTGTGAAGGGGAAGGGATAAACGAGTTCGAGCCGAGCCGCAGATAGTTGGCTCAACTCGAACTCGTTAAGGGATTTAGAGGAATCGAGCTTGGCTTGCAAGCCGGCTTACCAAGCCCGCTCGTGAGCCGGTATTAAAATAGCCAATTTTTTTTTTTTACCAGACCTGGTTTTTTCATTGTATTCAACCCATTTTCTATCCTACGGGAGCTGGTACTAAAACAGCCAATTTTTTTTTTCAGGATCAGACTTGGTTTTTTCATGGTGTTCAACCCATTTTCTATCCTATACATTAAAACAACAACTAAATCTCTTTACAAACTAAAAATAAAAAAAATGCTGGGGACATGCATGTATAGTACATTCCATTTCAATGTCACAAATTATTTGACAAACACAAGTAAACCTACATGTATTTGGCAAACAACTGAATCTCCACATGTAATGTCTCACTAGGCAAGTATTCACTAAGTATCCTATAGAGAGAATCCAGAGAATTGCTAGCTTAAAAAAGGTGTTCGTTTAAATTTTTTATCCTTAATCCAGTTATAACATACTATTACACAAAGATTATTTCTCACATATATAAATCCACATTAAATTTCTTCACTAAGACAGTGTGTGCAATCCTCTGACCAGCTTGACGTCTCCTAACTACTACAATCTAATACCTACAAAAATAAGGAAAGCAACGTGGTGAGCTATAAATGCTCAGTAAGTAAACCAAATCTAACTATGCTCTTACTCCGCTGTCCCCATTTTCGCTGTACTGTTTATAAATTTCTACTTGCTTTCTCTCTTTATTCTCAGGCATACTACTTAGTAGTCATCTATTTTTCTCAAATCTTTCTAAATCCTCCTAGTGCTGTACTATTCTTTATCATTTTATTTCTCTTCTCTGCTAGATTATAACTTTCTGTTTTTTTCTTTACTCAACAAATCGCTAAGTTTCCTTGCTATTTGTCATGTTTCTAATTTCTGTTCTTTTCTAACATGTATCTAATTTCTATTCTTTTCTTGTATATCTCTAATTTCTTTTCTATTCTCGTAGGCTTCTATTTTCTTTTCTTCTCTATTCTCATAGGTTTTTATTTTATTTTCTTTTCTATTCTCACAGGCTTCTATTTTCTTTTCTTCTCTATTCTCATGTGCTTTTATTTTATTTTCTTCCCTATTCTCACAGGCTTTTATTTTCTTTTCTTGGCTATTCTCATGGGCTTCTATTTTCTTTTCTTCTCTATTCTCACGGGCTTCTATTTTATTTTCTTGGCTATTCTCATGGGCTTCTATTTTCTTTTCTTCTCTATTCTCACAGGCTTCTATTTTCTTTCCTTAGCTAGTCAGACACGCAATAATAAAATAAACTCTTTAATCTATGCATAAATGTATAAGATGCAATGCAATAAATGTCTAATGCATATGCAAATGATCATGTCTGTATTCTTTCTGAAAATTCTTTTCTAATTCTTTCTTAAATTCTTTTCGTTTCTTTCTGAAATTTTTTTAGTTTTCTATTTCTTATTCTATTTTTCTTTCTTTTTGGAACTCTTTCTGTTTTCTGTTCTAGTTTGCCAATCAAACTAGGCTGAGGCATAGATTTGGAACCCTGGCCGTGTGAGCGTATTCTGAAATTCTTTCTAGGTATAGTCCTCATCCACATGCATTTCTAACGGACTGTGCAAATTTTGTTTTTCTATTCTGAGGCCACTCACTAATGGCGGCGTGCATGTAGGAAACTTCTACATCTTTGTCGCCACTAACTAACGCAGTGAATGCTCACAGGTTCCCCATTACAACAGTCCTCTGAAAACATCTCTGTAAATCTGCAAAATAACTAACTAGACATTTTCCAACACTTTTAAAATTTCTGAAATATATGCTATGCTATGTCATGCATTTATATGCCATCTATGCATGATCCCAAAATACGTGTCTGACTCTGGCATGTATTCTATTAATTCTAAGGTTTTTATTTCTATACTTTTCTGGAAAGCCTAAAGTTTTATTCTAATAACACGCTTAACTTAAACATTTTCTATTTTATTCTTTATTTCTGAATTATATGCATCGTGTATACGTACGCGATTATATAATTTCTACATAATTCTTTAATTCTATCATGCTATGTAAAATATACATGTACACAATTACATTATCTCTCACAAATTCTACTCTTTAATAATTCTATTAGTGAGATATTAAAATGGCACAATTCAACTAGGGAATGAATTCTACATTTTGGGCAATCTAATTTCTTCTATAAAAAGCTATGCCACAACATAGGAATTAAGTCTACTAACTTGCCCAATTATGCTACTAGATTTTCTCAAACTTATATGTCACATAACCATGACATTAAACAACTCTCTAATATTTTTCTAATGTAACAAACATGCCTTGTACAACTTTCTAAATACAAATCTTAATGTCATAAATTTGCATTCTCTTACATGACCATCAACTTCAATTGTTATGCATGCCCTTCTTTCTTCTTTTCTTTTGGCTACATTCTATACATTAATCTATATTGCCATATTAATCATTGTAAATTCAGTCTAACATATGACACAACATATATACTTTGACTAAATTCTAATTTCTTTCTAACATTCTTAACTAAATTTTTTGTCAATACAAAATATTCTCAAGATCTTCTAGCAAATTCTATGGCTTGTAATATATAATATGGCATGAAAACTATACTCATACTAATCAATTTCTAAAATGGTCATGTATTTAATACATAAACTAAACTTCTATTTCTTTGATATTTATACTTGGGAAAACTTTTCTATTCTTTATACAATAAAACCACTTATTGCATATTGTTCATAACTAATCTCAAAACAAGAAACAACAGTATCCTCATTTGGCCAAGCCATTCCTTGAATGATCTTTCTAATTTCAAGCATACAAGCTTGACAATTTATTGTGGCATATTGTAATATTATAGTATAATCACCCGTCCTTCACTATCATCAATACTACACTATTGCAACAATTTAATATGCAATCCTTGCCATCATTTTTCTAAAGTCATAAGTTTCAAAACTCATAAGTTCAAACAACTTGAACCATGCACTAAAGGCCATTCATTTCATTGAACTAACATAACTAAGTGTTATTCTAAATTTTGGCATAACAAAATGTACTCTTGAATACTAAAACTTACAGTTGGTTAAGCCTAACATAACCTTTCAACTCCAATTCTTTCCTTTCTCAAACAATTTCTTCAACAATATTTACCAAACTCATGCATGCATTTCTCTTTGAATTTCATCAAACAATTCACATGCACATGCAAAAACTTGGTTGGCCACACTTCCACATCTCTCCAAATCCACCAAAATTAGAGGAAAAACTCACCAAACTTAACTTCAAATCTGGCCGGATTCAACACTTCCAAATTCCAACATCAACTCATCAAAATTTCATCCAAAGTTCAACCAAAACATCACATCTACATAACTACTCATCTTGGCTGAACTTCTACACATTATTCTCCATCAAACAAGCATCTAAATAGTCAATACTTCTTATCATACATCATACACAAACACTAAAGAATCAACTTACACATATACTACTCAAATTAAAGCTTAGATTGGGTTTACTTACCTTTTTCTTGCAAGAATCCTTTTCTTTGCTTCGTTTGCTCACTTTCTCTATTGATTCATGCTTAGAAAGCCACAAAATGAATATATATTCACTTAGGCATGAATTCTCATGTAATTCCCTTGGAAGACTTTGAAGAAATGGAAGAGAAATGGGGGAAGAAGGTGGCGTGCTCAAGGGATGAGAATGGCTAGGGTTTGTCAATTGAAGCCTTATAACTAATAATATATATATTCCTATTTTGCCCTTGCACTTTTATGATAATTCCAATTATGTCATACGTGCATTTACCGATATACCCTCACTTTCAATGGATTTAACACATGTTCTTGGTCATTTTCACTCTCCACTCTTTCATCTAGTTGTGAGTGAAAATACCATTTTACCCTTATTCTTTAATTTCTTTCTATTACTTTACAAACACGTATTTATCTTGGCATCACACCACGTGTATTTTCCATAATCTTTCTACCACTCTATTCTCATGGCTAGCACACTTAATACATTATATTTATCATACTCACTTTTCACTTGAACACGTGATTCTATGTGAAATGACCATTTTGCCCCTATTGAAACTTTTATGGAATTCCTCTATAAAACTAGTTAAATATATTCACTATAACTATAAAATAATCCCTACCATATTTCTAAGTGTGAGTATTACACCACATGTGTTAATCTCATCATACTATTTACCATACTGGATCTGTTTCAACAAATTGAGTGAAGCGAACTAAAGTTTTTGTTTGGTTCACTTTATTTAATTCATCTTTCATTAGAACAAAAAAGGGACTATATACAAATTTAATCCCAAAACGTAAAAATATAATGTTTCATCAAAAAAATGGTTGTATGTTAGGCAGCTACATCCCAAAACCATTCTTGCCCCACCCCTACAAAAAAAAAAAAAAAAAAAATCAATTAAGGATATAAGTACATAAAGATGAATATGCGAACCTAAACAAAAAATCAATTAAGTCAAACAATTTTCACAATCCTGCTGCCACAGCTAATGACATGCGGGAGAATCAAACAATCTACTGATTCCTATCAACTAACGAGATAAGAAGAACAATCTCCAAGTGGTCATGCTCTTTCTGAAATGAAATAAGAAATAAAAATTAAGTTTACATTAACATAAAGTAATTGTAAATATTGAATTGCACTAAAAATAGAATCAATGGAACCTACTTTGCACCTTTTCTTCACTCCGTTCAAAGATCGACACCAATTACATCCACAAAAGAGCATTTTCGTCGTGTCCGAAGACAAATAAGCTCGATAATTGTCAATAACCCTACTCCCGGTGTTGAATGCAGACTCTGAAGCAACTGTAGTGATCGGGATGGCTAGTATCTCATGAGCTATCATAGACAATATAGGGTACTTGGTTAAATTTGTCTTCCATCATTGTAAAGCATTGAATGCCCCATGATCCCCCATGCACTTATGACACCCCTCTCCCAAATAACAGTCTAGCTCAAACTCACTCGGCTCAACAGTCTCCACAAAAACTGCTAAAATCATCCCAACTCGCAGCTCTCAAAGTCGTTGCCTCCTCACCAACGGCTCCAACTCCATCCCCTACTACTGGAGGCCCACGAGAAATAGTAGAAGCTTTATTAGCTTCAACATACTCTCCATATAGTTCATACAATGTATCCCAAACAGTTATAGTATTTGCACGAGATTCTAACTCAGAATACATCTTGGGGAAGGCCCACTGAATTACCCTCATTTTCAATCGAGGATCCAATACAGCAGCCACATACATCAGTACATTACATTCCCCCCAAAATTTATCAAACTTCTCCTTCATCTTCCTTACCATGTTTCTACTGAACTTATCTCCGTCTTCACTCTTACTATCCAACATCATTTTCACTAAACAGACCTCTTTTAGAAATAAATTAGATGTCGGATAATCACTCCCACTAATGAGATTGGTTATACCACTAAAAACCTTTAAAATGTCACACACTTTCTCCCAATCCTCGTCTTGTGGATAGTAATGATAACTTGAATCCCTTTCTTTCAACTTGGGAAATACTTTTTTAAACTTAATCGTCGTTGTCAACATTTCATACATCGAATTCCATCTTGTTTTACAATGTAGAATGAGCTTTCGAAACGACAATTTAAGTTGTTGCACAATCTCAATAAAAATCTTAATCCTACTCTGAAACATTGATGTATAAGACACTCTCACAGATGTTGTCAATGATATGCCTAATCTAATAAAGTCAATCTTGAACAATAAGGTGCGCATCTAACATGAAACAATTTACCTCCACAAATCAGATTCCCCATAACTTAAAAATTTTCCCTTAGAATTTTGATTGCAATGTCATTACTTAAAACGTTATCCACTGAGATAGTGTACACCTTATTTTCAATCCCCTATTCCGTTAGGCACTTGGAAATGGAATCAACAATCCTAACACCGGTACGGGGAGGAGGTAAATGTACAAAGTTGAGGACACGTCTATTCATCCTCCAATTACCATCTATCCAATGCCCAATGAGCACCATATACTCTATCTTCTGATTGCTGGAATTCCACAAATCCGTAGTCAAACTAATCTTGGTCACATTCTTCAACGTCTTCAACTTTGCTTTCTCACTCTCATATACCTTCATATAATCATTTTTGCAGGTATGGCGCAAACTAAACTCCATTCAGGAATCCCATAATTCATCATATTGTTCAAGCCCTCTTCCTCTAGAACTGAAAATGGATGCTCATGCGTAAGCACCCAATGGGCAATAAGTTCCTTCATCTTTATCATGTCAAACTTTCCACTTGAAGCAGGTAAAAAAGAAGTTCCAACATCAGAACCAACAACGGGAAAAGTAATGTATTGTTGCCTTATGGAAGTTATTCTCTTTGAACACCATTTTAAATGTCTATTAAATTGGGTGGTGCTTCTGGTGGCATTAATAGACAGCTTGGCTTTGCAATGGATACACTCTGCCTTTTTTGTTCCCCCCAAGAAAACCACCTCCTTAAACTCTATCCAACCCACTGATGTTTTAGCTCCCTTTTTCCTCTGAATTGGATTGTCATTCTGCCCACCATTATCTGGGCTACTAATATTGTGTTCTATATTTGCAGTGGTCTCATTCAAGGCACGCTTATTGCTCGGTGTAATTGTAATTGTATCTTGCTCTGTAGGGCTGCTTGAGGTACTGCCATTTCCAAACCTATAATACAAAATACAAAGAAAAGGGTTAGCTTTTCTTATTGATATTTGATGGAATACCCCTGATGAAATCCAACAATAAAACAGTCCAAAAACACAAGATAGGGCCACTACAAATCTAGAATTAATTCAACAATAAATTAGAATATGTGGAGATAAAGTTGAATCATAGAATGTTACTAGATGGAATGTTGGAAATATGTGGAGTGCCTCCTGAAAAAATCAGAACTATATATTCAAGTATTGACAAGCTAGAAAAGCAATCTTTTAACATGAACTAATTGGAACCAAACTAAATTGTCAAGTGCTAACCGTAAGAAATAAAACCACCTCCTTAAAATTTTTGTTCCTCTAAATTCCTATTAATTTAGTCATTTTTATATTATCGGTGGAATCTTAAGTTGTTGAAGTGACAATGATGCAATGAAAGGTTGTTGCACATACATTTATTTAAAACAAATCTTGCATTTAATATAAAGTTCATTCCAACCATGTAGTATTTAATATAAAGTTCATTACTCCTCATTCTTAACACACACGAATACCAACCTAAACAGCACAATCCACACTCCACAGCACAAACACATTACACATTTCAATATTTTCCTCAACAGTCAACAAAAACGCAACAGCTACATCCCAAAGCATTTTCATTTTTCAACATTACACATACATTTATTTAAAGCAAATCCTGCATTTAATATAAAGTTTATTCCAGCTGTGTAGTTTTTAATATAAAGTTCATTAGTCATTACTCCTCATTCAGTCATTCTCAACACACCCGAATAGCATCCTAAACAACACAGTCCACACTCTACACCACCAACACCTTACACATTTCAATCTTTTCCTCAATAGTCAACACAAAGTCACAAATACAGTAGCATAGTCCACAACATTTTCATTTTTCAACATGACGCATTTGACATTTCAATCATTCAAATTTCAATGTATGTACTTATATTGGGAAAACAAAGAAGAAAATGGGCCAAAATAATACTTGACAGAGTTACTATGACGGCGAGAAGGACGAAGGGACAAGGGCAAGTCGACTGCAGGAAGAGAAGCAGATGGCGACGAAAAGAGCTTGGAGGCTGATGAAAATGGTGAAACAACAACAACGAAGGGGAAAGCTGTAATAGGTGACGCCATCGACAATAGCAGTTGTTAGAGTCACGAAAGTGACTATTTTGATGATAAAAAGACCCTATGTGATATTAAAATGAAATCATATTGAGGCAATTAAGAAATTTATGAATTTATTCACGAAAAATCGCATTCTAATGTTTTCTTATGAATTTAACATGATTGGAATGATTTTGGAAAGGGTATGAGTTGATATTAGGTTGTGGTTTATGGATTATGGGTGATTTTATCTCATTTATATTGTTTAGGGGGTGAACTGTCATATTTGTAGGGGTTGATTTTGTCACTTTTCAATCATGTAGGGACCAAAGGAAAATTTTCCACTTTTGCATAAAAAGGAAGTGAAGGGTCGCATTCCAGCAACGCCGCTCATCCTAATCTATAGTCCACCACCGACGACTCTTCCTCTCCCATTTTCGATGACGTTCCAGCCTCCTCTTGCACCGATCATCATCATCCCACCTTTAACCGTCGTTCAATCCACACCGGGGACGTTACGCCTCCCACCATCACGTCTCTTCATTTTTCGGCAACCTTGGAGCTTCTCCAGCATCAATCCAGCTTCTCCAGGTGCCGACCATCCTTCCCACGATCAGATCCACCTTCCTTCAAGCTCCATTGCCATCGTTTAGTCACCATCTCACCAAATTGTCACCATGACTGTTTAGCTTCCTGCCGTTTTTCGTGCATTTTCTGGTGACCTCTCACCTTCCAACCAACAGATCCATCATCTCCATCACCTAATCTATCTTCCTGTACCCTTGGATCTCCTCTTTGCCGATCGCCGCCGCCGGTTACTTCCAAGAGTTTCCTTGGTCATTTTCACTCATTCTTCGTATCATCTCGCTGTCGGTTACTTCCTTTTCACCATGACCAACTTCGTTTCCACCGCTCCAGCCTCCGTTGACACCACCATGAGCGACTGAGTTCCCAATTGTCTGTTACGGTGTAGGCAAGATCGAAATTGACTCCACTGCTCTCCTCATCAGCTCTCGACTAGTTGGATGAGCCCGATAGTAGGACATTTGGTAGTATTGTGTTTTGAACTATACTTGTTTTCGTTTCATGTTTGATTTCAATACTTAATATAGTTTGAGCATAATTTGTGATGAATATAGTTGTCCATTGTGATTAAATGTTTTCATAGAATTTACTGAATGATAGACATTGGTTTGAGATAATTAAATGATGAATATTGCTTTTCATTACTTCGCATCGATTGTAATTGAGTTGTGTTCGGATTTAAAATAATTTCTACTATAGTTACATTTATTGTGAAGTTGATTGATTAGAAAATAAGTGTTGACAAATTGTATTTGTTAATCGCGTACCAACTAGTGGTATTATCTTGTAGTGTTTGTCGGCATTCAATGATAGTCTTTAACCAATCGAACTTGAGTGATCGGGTGAGACAGGATAAACTATACTTAGAGTGTCAGAAAGCCATTTCATTGATTTACCTTGCCTTGTAGATTTAGGGGATCATAGAGGGTGGGGGAGAATTGTGTGAGTTGGTCTCGTGTCGAACCAAAACTGTAGCAGCAACATTTTTATTATAAAGTCTTCATTAGTTTTAATTTCAAGCTTTTATTATTTGCGTTTAGTTTGTTAGGTTTAATAATCAATTTACCAATTTCATTTTCGCTACTCACATTTGCATTAGGTTGTCAGTCTTTGCTTCTGTGGATTCGACCCTACTTACCGCTAACTGCGATATTTAGGATTTAATTTTGTGACCATGACGACCGATTCAACAAAATTTTAGTGCTGTTGCTAGGGATCGCTGGAAAGTGGCCCAACGACGATTGGAAGACAAAACGTCGCTGGCAAACGCATGAATCGCGGTGGTGAGTGTGGGATGATGATGATCGATGCAAAGGGAAGCTGGAACGTTGCTAGAAATGGGAGAGGAAGAGTCGTCGGTGGTGGACTGTAGATTGGGGGTGAGCGGCACTGCTGGAATGCGACCCTTCACTTCCTTTTCATACAAAAAGTGGAAAATTTCCCTTTGGTCCCTACATGATTAAAAAGTGACAAAATCAACCCCTATAAATATGACAGTTTACCCCCTAAACAACATAAATGAGACAAAATTACCCCTAATCCATAAACCACAGCCTAATATCAACTCATAGCCTTTCCAAAATCATTCCAATCATGTTAAATTCATAAGAAAACATTAGGATGCGATTTTTCGTGAATAAATTCATAAATTTCTTAATTGCCTCAATATGATTTCATTTTAATCGCACATAGGGTCTTTTTATCATCAAAATAGAGTCACTTTCATGACTCTAACAACAGTGGAAGACGGCAATCGTGGGTGACGGCAACGGCAAAGGTTAATCGAGATTTGTCAATTTTGGGTAGGGTTTCTATTTCCAATTTAGGGATTTTGTTGATTTGGGGGTAAAATATCGTGTTTTACCAAGTTTTACATTTGGGGGGGAGGGGAGGTTTGTCAATTTTTAAACTATTATGCTTAATAACTGCAAATTTTTTAACCCCCAATAGTTTGAAAACACTCTATGTAACCCTCTCTAACTTGAGCCAGATTCAGCTCATGAGCCTCCGAGCTGAGTCGAGCATTGTTTGAACTCAGCTCGCATCCCCTTCATGAATCAAGTCGAGTCGACCCGGTTGAGCTCTTGATAAGCTTTGGTCAAGCTGAATCGAGCTGGCTCAGAGCGGCTCGGTTCATGTCATAGTCCTATTCTTTTGCTATGAGTAGCTAAATCTTTAGTAATTGGGGGTGATTTCAAAACCCTAGACATGTTTTGTTATCATTAATATAATGGCTGCACTTTTCTATCTTCTGAATTTCTCTTGATTATGTGTTTATGCTCTAAGATGAATGCTCTAATAGATTTTCTTTAATTTGTTAAGTGGCCAATTAAATAGTTGGGATAGTCTATTATTACCAATTTGGATTGTCTAGTCCATGATCGCTTTTCTAATTCAAATAATTAGTGGTAGGTTGCATGCAATGGGAATAAACACTCAAGATAACTAAACCGAGCTTATGAGTTTAGCCTTAATTCAGTATGTCTTTCACTACGTAATTCTTTTATTAAATTAAAACTGGCAAGTTTATGCTATGTTGTTTAATAGGCAGGAAATTGGGTTAAGAGCTTGTTTAATCTAACGACACAGTAAAGAAAGATCGAATTTATCGAGCTTGCGATATTTTTGATCTGATGTAATCAAGAGTGTAGGAAGGTAAGATGTGTTTCTATTAGTTTACAATTCATGTTTAGTGGTGGCGAATGATCCTTCAATCAACTTTATCTC